CCCTAACTGTCGATCGATGGTTTGTTCTCATCATCTTCAAGAATCTTAGTGTTCATCGTGAATAAAACAGTGCACTTGTGCATTGCGGAAGAATTGGACCCACAAGCTAGCATTAGCTCAAGTTCTAAAATGTAAAAAGGAAGCGAGTCACGAAGCAACCGGGAGAGGATGGGAAGGAGCTGATGACGCCGGTGACACCGGTTTTCCTCACCTTTGGCGAATGGTTTGGCACCAAAGATTGGAGGAAACCAAGGATAAGCGTTTTAGGAGTGTGGCTTATGTTCTTTCTATGTGTCGTTGGCAGCGATGTCTTGATGATGCATATCGACAATATAAAGAGTACCATTGTTCTATCCCTTTGACGTTGTGGTGTTTTTCTCAAACTGATCACTGGCTCTCGTCTCGACGAATGATACTTCCGTCTTTCCTAAGAGCGGTCGCAGTGCTAGGTCCTTTAGCTAATTGATCATTAGTTCTACTCTTTTTATGCCCGTGGTCTTTCTTCTACCGTAGCAGGGGAACCAAGCAGCAATTTGTACAACCTGCATTGCAAGTAGAGCGGAGCATAGACTGGGTCGGACCAAGCTTACCAAAGCCATGAAATGATGTTGTGGAAGAATAGTTTTCATACTTGTAATTTAGTTTTCAAACGTAGGAACACTAGTTTTGAAGCACATAATCTCGTCAAGTTTGCTTGTAATTTAGCTATAACTCCCATGACCCAAACCTTGTACTACCTATGGACATTGTTTCGAATCAATAAAGAGGGCGAGATTTCTCGAAAAACATAATTGATGCATTAAAATCTATTATTGCACTTTTTTTTGCGAGAAAATTTCCGATCTATTCATCTTCAATCATGACAGTACAACGAATACCAGAAATAATAGAAATCACATCCAGATCCGTAGACCACCTAGCGACAACTATATGAATAAATTACTCGCTCGGGCTTTTTTAGGCTTTGAGGGCGGATGGGGGCAAAAAGGCTGTCTGGGCAATTCTTAAAGAAAATAGAGGCAAATAAAAAACAGTCTTTTTGCAGGGAGAATTCCGTCCTTTTAGTTTTATTATCATCATGGGTCCTATTATTCATGTTTGTTTGTTTTAAACGAGATTCGATTTTGTATTAGTTTCTTTGATTTGATGCGTATCCAATCAATTAACTAAATCAGCTTGTTTACTCGGAGACAATGACCAAAAACCATCCATTGAAGAGCACACAGAGACAGGACCAGTGACTGGACCAATGCGTGGCACATCAAGTTCTTATGACTGATTTTGCCCAATATAACATAGAAAAATGGCTGGAATAACCAAGTGTAGCATCGGAGAAGAGCAGCAAAATGGGCTGGTGCTTCCTTCGTTTCTTCTTTCAAAAATGTTGGCAACGTGAAACGACCGATTGGTGCTGATGAACTGTGGCGTGCGCGTATCTACGGTTTGTCGGGTTCCTTCCGGGCAGATGGAGTGGCCGTTCGTTGGGTGCGTCCGCCGGGAAGCAAAGCTGGCCCCAGAGTCTCGGAGGAGGCGCGCGCGGCCCTGCGAATATGCCAACTCGCGTGCGGACAATTCCACCCCAGGATTCCAGGAATCGGATCCGTTTGGCGCAGGTCTCAGGTGGTGTTTGGTTCAGTCCTAAGACTTTTTCTAGTCCCTAGGATTTTTTTAAAAAAACTTTTAAGAAGGTGCTTCTAACGACTTTTAGCAAAAAGTCTTAAAAAAGTCCCCCCTGTTTGGTTTGCTAGGGACTTTTTTTAGTCCCAACACAAAAAAGTCCCTGAAACCAAACACCCCCTCAGTCTATCGGATGCATTTTGGGCTCCATGCGCCCTGCCTCACCAGCCCCCGCCGACCTTGCCCCATCCAAAGCAAATCAGTGTGTGCAGTGTGCGTGTCCGCTGCTTCGATGCTAGAGTAACTACAACCGTGAGCCTCATATCCCTCGTACGCCAGGCGGACGGCCCGGTCGTTGACCGATAAAAAAAATTCGATCTAGACGGACGCCTTAAACTGGTCTCAAACGTCTGGGTTGACCGACACCCTTCATCCAGAACAAATATGAGGAGGCATGGCCACGTCCGCCATGTCGGACCCGGCCCTTACTGGTCCACCCGAGCCCACATATATTCGTCCTTATTTGTTCTCCGGATCAAACCCTAGCCACTCCGCCACCCAAACTCCTGTTCGGTGATCCCCGGCATGACGTGTTGGGAAATGTTGCATGAAAAACAAAAAAATTCTACGCACACGCAAGATCTATCCATGAAGATGCATAGCAATGAGAGGGAGAGAGTGTGTCTACGTACCCTCATATACTGTAAGCGGAAGCGTTTATTCAACGCGGGTGATGTAGTCGTACACCTTCACGATCCGCCCGATCAAGTACCGAACGCACGACACCTCAGTGTTCTGCACACGTTTAGCTCGGTGCCGTCCTTGCCGTCTTGATCCAGCAAGCGTAGCGAGGTGGTGATGAGTTCCATCAGCACAACGGCATGGTGACGGTGGTGGTGAAGCAATCCTGCAGGGCTTCGCCTAAGCACCGCGACGATCTAGAGCAGAGGAGTAAACTAGAGGCGGAGGGGTGCCGACACACGACGTGGAATAAGCTATCTCTTGTGTGGCACCCCTCCCCACATATATATAGGTGTGGGAGGGGGTAGGCAGCCCTAGGGCGCCTCAATAGGTCCGGCGACCACCCTAGGGTTTTCCCAGTGGTGCCCCCCCCCCCTTCCATATAATGCACAAGGGAGAAGGAAAGGGGGGAGGCGCCCTTCTCTTTCCTTTCTCCCTTTTGGAGATATGGTAGGAGGAGGTGGCGCCTCCCCCTTCCATCTAATTGGGCGTGGCTGCCTTAGGGGGGCGCACTAGCCCATGTCGGCTGGTGTGTTCCCTCTACATGGCCCAATAAGGCCTAATACTCTCCCGGTGCCTCCGGATCCCCTTCCGGTATTTCGATAACTTTCTGATGCATTTTGAAACCATTTCGGAGACCAAATAGCATCGTCCTATATATCAATCTTTACCTCTGGACCATTATGGAGCTCCTCGTCATGTCCGTGATCTCATCCGGGACTTCGAACAACATTCGGTCACCAAAATACATAACTCATATATTACCAAATCGACATCGAACGTTAAGCATGCGGACCCTACGGGTTCGAGAACTATGTAGACATGACCGAGACACCTCTCCGGCCAATAACCAACAGCGGAACCTGATGCCCATATTGGCTCCAACATATTCTATGAAGATCTTTATCGGTCGAACCGTTATGACAACATATGTAATTCTGTTTGTCTATCACTATGTTACTTGCCCGAGATTCGATCGTCGGTATCTTCATACCTAGTTCAATATCGTTACCGGTAAGTCTCTTTACTCGTTCCGTAATACATCACCTCATGACTAACTCCTTAGTCATTGGCTTGCAAGTTTATGATGTGTATTACCAAGAGGGCACGGAGATACCTCTCCGATACTCGGAGTGATAAATTCTAATCTCGATCTATGCCAACCCAACAAACACCTTCGGAGATACCTGTAGAGCATCTTTATGATCTCCCAGATACGTTGTGACGTTTGATAGCACACAAGGCATTCCTCTGGTATCCAGGAGTTGCATAATCTCATAGTCAGAGGAATATGTATTTGACATGAAGAAAGCAATAGCAATAAACTGAACGATCATTATACTAAGCTAACAGATGGGTCTTGTGTTGGGTTTCGTAGTAATTTCAAAAAAATTCCTACGCACACGCAAGATCATGTGATGCATAGCAACGAGGGGAGAGTGTTGTCTACGTACCCAACGCAGACCGACTGCGGAAGCGATGACACGACGTAGAGGAAGTAGTCGTACGTCTTCACGATCCAACCGATCAAGCACCGAAACTACGGCACCTCCGAGTTCGAGCACACGTTCAGCTCGATGACAATCCCCGGACTCCGATCCAACAAAGTGTCGGGGAAGAGTTTTGTCAGCACGACGGCGTGGTGACGATCTTGATGAACTACAGCAGCAGGGCTTCGTCTAAACTCCGCTACAGTATTATCGAGGAATATGGTGGCAGGGGGCACCGCACACGGCTAAGGAATAGATCACGTGGATCAACTTTTTTTTGGGGTGCCCCTTGCCTCAGTATATAAAGGATGGAGGAGGAGGAGGCCGGCCAAGGTTGGTGCGGCCAGGATGTGGAGTCCTACTAGGACTCCAAGTCCTAGTAGGAGTCCATCAAGAGGGGAGGAAGGGAGAAGGAAGTGGAGGAGTAGGAAAGGTGGCTGGCCCCCTTTTCCCTAGTCCAATTCGGACTAGAGGGGAGGGGGGGCGCAACAGGCCTTTTCTCCTCTTCCCACTAAAGCCCATCAAGGCCCAATACTTCTCCCAGCGAATTCCCGTAATTCTCCGGTACTCCGAAAAATATCCGAATCACTCGGAACCTTTCCGAAGTCCGAATATAGTCGTCCAATATATCGATCTTTACGTCTCGACCATTTCGAGACTCCTCGTCATGT